TTATTTTATTTTATTTTATTTTATTTTATTTTATTTTATTTTATTTTTTAAATATTAGTCACAGTTTATTAACCTTGAATCCCAGCTGTATCCTGCTCCCTCATTCTCCCCCAATCCCACATTCCCTCCCTCTTCTCCTTCCTGCCCCTTTCCAAGTCTACAGATAGGTAGGTCCTCCTCCCCTTCCATCTGACCCTAGCTTATCAGGTTTCTTCAGGAGTGCCTGCAATGTCCTCCTCTGTGGCTATTTCTTGTACTGTGAATGTTTTACTTTCACCTCAGCTCTTTTCTCAGTTTGCTGACTTCGTTCCCTGTGCTATTGGTTCCTTCTCAGAAAGTCCTTGCCTATTGCTCATGTCCCGTGTTCTTACTATTTTCCTCCAGCACTTTGAAAGTTTCAAGTCTTGACCCTTTTTTAATTAGTTTCTGTTTACAATTAGAGGAGTGGATCTAGTTTAATGATGTTACATAGTGAAATCCAGTTTTAGAAGTTCTGTTACTCCAATGTATGGTTTTTTCCTTTTTTTTTTTTAAAATGTTTTTTGACAGTTTGTCAAAATTTAAGTAGTTGCAGCTTTGTGGATTTACCTTTAGTTTCTCTACTTTATTACAATGGTCTACATTTCTATTTTTGTGCCAGGAGTACATGGGTTTTGTTACTACTGCTTTTTGATAAAATTTGAGATGAACTTTTGTGAATGTTTCAACATTGCCCTTTAGTTATTCTTGTCACCATTTGGGATTAGAGGATTTCCACATAAATTTGGAGATTTTTTTTTCTAGTTCTGTGAAGAATATCATTTGAATTTTCATGGAATTTGAATGAGATAAAACAAAAGACACAGGAATATTCAAATATAGATAAAAGATAATTTTAGTTAACATAACCATTTTCATGACATTAATTCTGCTCATCCATGATCATCTTCCAGTGCCTTCTCCAGTTTCTTTTTTCAGTGTCTTACCGTTTTCATTGTAAATATTTTCTATTCCTTGTTAAGTTCTAGGTATTTATTATTTTTCTGTGTTTTCTTTGGCAACTATTGTGACTAGGATTTTACCCCCTGATTTCCTTTGTAACAGCTCTGTTGGTACTTTTACTAGTAAGGTGTGTTTCCTAGAGACAAAAACATAATTGCCTCCGGTTTTGTTTTGTTTTTTGTTTTTGTTTTTGTTTTCCTTAAATCCAGTCAACCAGTCTGCATCTCTTTATTGGTAAATTGAGGCCATTTACATTTAAAGTTAATATTGACATATATTTCTAATTTCTATAAATTTTTTGATTTTTGTTTGATAGTTGGTTAATTGTATGCTTTTGCACACAACTTACAAAGCAAGGAACACCATATTGCCAGGTGTTCCCTGCTTTACTGTGATTCCTTCCTTGCGTCTTTGTTCAGCAATCATTATAAAATTCACTTTTTCCAGTGCTCTTGGGTGGGGCCATTATCCTTCCTTCTCTGTGTATTCCTTTAAGTATTTTCTGTAGTACTAGATTGTTGATAATGAAATGCCTTAGTTTGTGCTTCTGAGAAAGCGCCAGATTGATTTCCAAAGTGGTTGTACAAGTTTACATTCCCACCAGTAACGGAGGAGGGTTCCCCTTCCTCCACATCCTCTCCAGCCTGTGTTGTCACACTCATGGTATATACTCATTCATAAGGGTTATTAGACGTATAATTAGGGTAAACATCCTAAAATCTATAGTCCTAAGGAAGCTAAACAAAAAGGAAGATCCTAGGGAAGATGCTCAATCCTCACTCAAAAGGGTAAATGTGATAGACAACAGAAGCAAGAGAAGATGGAAAAGAACAGGAGTTTACCACAGAGGGCCTCTGAAAGACTCTACTGATCAAGGTATTGAAGCAGATTCTGACACTCACAGCCAAACTTCAGGCAGAGCGCACATGCACAAGACATTTGATAAAGACAGAGGGCTCAGCATCTGTGGAAGGCAAAGAAGGACGAGTTGGGAGAAGTGAGAAGCCAAACTTCAGTGCTGTCTCAACTGAAGCTCCAACTGCCCACCAGGACATGTAGAGGCATGCCTCAAACTGCTGCCTTTTTTTTTTTTTTTTTTTTGCATGTCAGTTAGGAATGTTGACAAAACGAAGGGAAATATGAGAATGGAAATGCCAGGGAAGAGAAACAAGGTGTTAAGACCTTTACAATCCTACGCTAACATTGGTGGCCCGGGAAAAGGTCAACAAGATGATTGACTCTAGTAGACCATTGTCTGCAGGGAGCTGAAAAGTCAAGGCTGACTTTAGTTAATGTTCCCAACAAGTGATCATCTGTCCTTCATTCTTTGAAAGGGATATGGGAAGTATGTTACAGTCTCCATTGCAATTTTAGCATAATAAGAGAAGCATACAAACCTTTTCTTGTACTGAAGTTTATAACAGACCAGATCAATTGCAGAGCAGAGATTCTACTTCTCTGATGGTCTGGTTTCTTGAGACAATCATACGCTCAGCTGATGTGAAAAATTGCAAGACTCTAACTGCTTATGGAAATATTATTTTCAGATTTCCAAAAGCCTCTTTCTGTCCTTCCCTGCTACATTCATGTGTCCCATATTGCCTGATTCTAGATAATGTGTCCAAGACAGTATTTGCTATAAGGATTTTGGAAAACACTTTGTTTTTCTTATTACAAAGAACAAATGAAGATGACAACCCCCTTATCCTTCCTGTTTTTTCTATTACTTTCTTATTTATTTTTATTTCTTATTTGAATTTTAATTTTTTATATTAATTACAGTTTATTCACTTGTATCCCAGCTGTAGCACCCTCCTTTGTTCCCTCCCAATCTGACCCTCCCTCTCTCCCTCATCAAGTCCACTGATAGAGGAGATCCTCCTCCCCTTCCCTCTGACCCTAATCTATCAGGTCTCATCAGGACTGTCTTTCATAGTCTTCCTCTGTGGCCTGGTAAGGCTGCT